GTAATCTCCCTAAAAAACCTCCAATTAAAGGACAAGGCTGGTAATAAATAATTAAAGTCTGAATACAGAGGTCGCAGAGCAGGCTGAGTCTCTGAGTTAAAATAACCAACTGTCTAAAAGCCAGTAGTTTGGAAACATTAGAAATCACATTTAAAACAAGCCAAATGCCCTTTTCAGCTGGACTAACCCCTCTGTGTCTGCTGCCGGCCTCTCGCGCTCTGTGACTCCTGAACAATGGAGCTCCCGGCTCTTTTGTCAGGAGCGCCGACCTCAGAGATGATGGACAGGAGTAAGGTGCAGCTGCTCAGGTGAGAAAGACAATACATCTGCTCAGCATCAACGTAAACATTACTCGCTGCACCTATTACAAACTGTCCGTATCAGTGGTTCCCAACCTGTGAGCCATGGCCTACTGGTGGGCTGCGAAGGTATTGCAAGTGGGTCGACAAATCATCTGCAAAACGGTGGTCTTGGTGAAGAAATGTAATTATAAAAAAATAAAAATATAAGTAATGTTTTAAAATGTCTTAAAACGAAATGATCTTTAACAGCTTTAAAAATGTTTAAAAATCTTTTCATTGTTTTTCTTTTCATTTGTATCGTATATTTCATATTTCATATCACTGTGATGAGCCAGTGATAGGAACTTATAAGTCGTTGCAGGCTGGATCATTTTGCTGCTGGACACCCTTATATACTTGTATTGTTAAGGGGTCCGATGTGGGCTGCCAACATTTTTGAGATTTTCAAGTGGGCCATGGTCCACACAGACCACTGGTCTATACACATATACAAACTGAGATGATGGGTCGCAGTAGGTCACACTGAACTTCAGCTAATTAGTATACCATAATGCTGAGGCCCTCACTAGAGGCAGAATAAAAAAGTAGTGGAGTGACCCTTTAAGGAAATGAATGGAAAAATACATCCAGGAATTTAAAACACAACGGAATGGTTTGCAAATGATTTAGCTGTAACATGAAGTACTGGGCTACAACAGCCTAAATCGGTGGTATGATCCTTTAAATGTTTATGAGTGTAGACTCCAACCAAAATGTCAGATAACAGCATGACATGGTGAGAATCAGCCAGCTGTGTCGTACTCTCTCTGCTCTACAGGGTCACATTCAGTAAAGTCATCCACTAGCAGAGACAGCCACTTTAATAGCCAATGGTGGGAGGTATCTTCAGCTTCACAGTGAAAGCTGACACGAAGACAAAAGGCAAAGATATTTGGTGAAAGAACTGAAAAAACACTCCTTCATGGCAGGTGAGCAGGACATTACATCAGACCCAACGTCTGGCACACACCTCGGGCTTATTTGTCCTTGTTTTATGTTTTTGTTCAGACCAGGTTTCACTGTTGGCTGTTGGTCTGTCTGTGGGTGTCCTGTTGCTGCTGCTGCTGCTGGGTCTGATGGTTTACTATCTGTGGAGGAAGAAGAAGGGCCAGAGTCAATACCAGGAGCTGCTGTCCACCGTGCCTTCAGTCCCAGCATGCTCTGCTCCGGTGATCCTGGTCTCTCAGTGCTCCTGGGCCACGTTAGTAGCACGGAACACATTCCACGTAAAAATACATCATAATTTATAGTTGATTAATTTTATATTATTATATTATTATTATATTATTTATCAGAATCTACAAAGTAACTTGTAGCTAAGGTGATATATGGAAATATTGAAGTAACGTACAAGTATCTCAAAACCTGTATCCAAATGTAATGCATGCACATATATTACATTTCCTTATATGAAATATATGGAAATATGAAGTAAAATCCTACGTGTACATATATATCTAAGATTTATATATCAAACCTATTAAAAATTGGATTAATTTCATATACTGACATATATGTCTAGCACATAAAAATATGTAGGTTATGTATGTATGTCATATATTACATTTGCTTAAGTAAACTTGCTCAGTCAACATGCAGACAAGTGGAGATTACTAATGAACTGTCAAGCTCAGCAAACAACACATCTTCCAGTTTAGTTTTATTTCTTTATTGCACAAAAGCAGTAAAATAATGTAGCTGCCGTTTTCAGACACAAACAGGACAAAAGCAAAGATGAAACAAGGGAAAAATCCTTCACTACATGTTGATACTTCTGAGAAAACTTCCACCTGAGAGGCAACATTCATCACTTGGGGTTTGTGGGGCGTGTAGTTTCAATTTTAAGACCTGATACTGACACCGACATGGTGAATCCAATGTATTGTTATCTAAAATGATAAAGAGGAGACATTTAATAACGTTTTTCTCTGTGTGAAAGGCCCAGTGAGATCCCCTTCAGCCTGCCTCCTCGCTTCACCACACGAAAGCATGGTGATCTGGAGTCGGAGGAGACGGAGGAGAAAGAGGAGGTGGAGATGAAGATGGAGACTGGGCGGGACATATTAGCCCACCGTGGGTCACTTTCAGTAAGGAGTAGGTCATTATCGCCTTTAATTTGATCGTATATGAAGATGGTTTTAGTCACGTTGAAATTTAAAAACAGAATTCAGTACGTAATAGTGACATTTCATATTCAAAATCATTAATGATAATGAAAACGATAGTTGCAGCATTACTTACATACAGTATACTTCCAATAGGCTATATCTACCTGTTCCCATCAGGCTGGTACCCAGTGGGGACGGTGCTTGCTGGTCTCTACTCCGTCCCTCCTCTGAACGAGGTGGTGGCCCCTCCGCCCGGCATGGCCACCCGTCTCTGCTTCTCTGTGGAGTACCGGCACAGCAGCGAGCAGCTCATGGTCTCCTTGCTCCGCCTGGGCAACCTCCCTCCCCGTTTCCACGGTAACGTCACGCTGGTGGAGCTTCGGCTTCTCCCTGACGACCGGCGGCCCCGCCAGGCCAAGGCCCGCGGCACGGGGCCCGACCCGGAGTTCAACGACTGCCTCATTTTCCAGGCAAGGAAATTAAAAGTTTACAGAAGTGTCAAATCTGCTGAGACACACAGGAGGAGGAGGAATTGTTCGACTTTAGAGACAAGAATAACTAATCATTTCTGTTGTGTGAGTTGTGTGTGAGATAAATCCATAAATCACTCAGTTCAAACAACAACAAAAAACACTTTAAAACACTGAGGCATGATCCTAAAATGCCCGAGAGAACCATACTGTAATTTAAAGCCCTGATTCTTGGCAATAATAAACTGTACAATATTAATAAGGACAATATGTATTCTGTGTAGTTAATTAATGCCAAATAAGCAACTAGGAATATTCTAATGTGAAATAATATTATATAGCTGCTATTTGAACCTTAAAAATCACTGACAGCTGTGGATGGATTATCAGACAATGGAGGCTTTTATTGGTAAATGTGTCATCAGTCCATATATTTATTTTGAGGAAACAGCTTGTGTGTTTCCTCCACAGGTGTCAGGAGTGTGTGTGCCTCAGAGCACCCTGAGTGTGTGTGTGCTGAGCGTGGAGCAAGACGGCAAACGCCACGCGGTGGGAAGGGTGCTGTTTCCCCTGGAGGGGGAGCTCGGTCAGGCCGGCAGGGTACTCTGGAGAGACCTGGAGACCGAGGACGACACACAGGTAATGTACTAACACACTCACACAATGTACGCATGTGAACAAAGTTGGTCGTGCAAGCTCATAATCTAGTTCTGTCGTCTCTCGTCTCTCTCAGTGTTCAGAGCTGGGAGATGTGCAGATATCTCTCAGCTACAGTCCGAATCTGCAGCGCCTCTCTGTGGCGGTTTTGAGGGCTCGAGGTCTACAGCTGCTCACCGACACAGGTAGAGAGGGATGTCCAGGTCATGGAAGAGCTCGTGGATGTGTCTATATATTATGCATTATTATAATGCAGCATCTGTGTGTTGCCCAGGTGTGTGTGTCCAGGTGAGCTTACAGATACACACTCAGGTGGTGAAGATCAAGCGCAGCTGCGTGGTGAAAGGAGAAACCGACCCACACTTCGACCACAGGATGACCTTTAAACTCCGCTCGCAGCACCTGGACGAGGCCTGTCTGAGGTTTGAGCTGCAGCAGCCGAATGACATCCGCTCAGGTGAAGGGCCGACTTGATGTTCAACGGGTTCAATGAGTTTATCTTTCAGGAAAGATGTTTACTTTTTATTTGTGATGTGTCAAATGTTCAGAAATAGCTGCATTTAAAGGGAGGTTAAAGGATTAAGATTCTTTAAACCTTACATTAATCATTCACACATTCAAAAACTCATGGTAGTTAATATAAAGAAACAGATATTAGTCTGATTAATTGATGACGGAATGATTTCACATCTTATCTAACAATATACACTTCAGTATTTGCCTTTAAACTGTGCAGATGAGAGCAGAAGAGGTGGAGCTGTTTAGTCACCTCGCCTCTGTCTTCATGTTTGTCCCAGAGCCTCCGCCCCTGCTGGGAGTCCTGGTGTTGGGTCCCTTCATGTACGCCAGGGGCCCACAGCTGCAGCACTGGATGGACATGGTCAACACGCCCCAGGAGCCGGTCAAACTATGGCACGGACTGTGCAGAGCCACCTAGCATCCAAATTACACACATATGATGAAATAATTGAAAAATAAAATAATTAATAATAATAAAAAAGTCTTCCCAAATACATTCCTCATTTGCAAAACTCCATCCAAGTCTAGTTAAAGAACTGGATCAGGAATTTAGGGATATAAATAAAAAGAAGTTTAAAACAGCTATGCAGGTGTAGGAAGCGTTAAATAAGAAACTTAAACAACCTGGAATACATGGAGGTAAAAAAATACATTTGGTAATAATTTGGTTGTAATAAATGCAGACTGTAAACTCCTATTTTCATTTGATAGTCTACAGGTTTACAGCTTTAGCAGCGCAGTAATGAAGTGCCTTTATTTTACTTTATTTATTTTAAAACATATTCTAATTTGTAATGTGCGTGAATTTATATGTACAGCCACATTATATCCAACAGGTGGCGACATCCGCCTTTATGTCAGTGAGTGCAGCTGCAGTTTGAACCAGCGAGTGTGAAGGAGGAAGTCCTGAGTGAGAGCTGGCAACATGGACATCAACGTGAATCAGTGAAGTTATTTTCAGTCATACTGGTGGTTTATATATTTTATATCTGATTTGGCGCCATGAAGGTAAATGAGAACACTTTACTCGAGGGACACAGAGTTGTGTTGGTTCCTTACAATGCAGAGCACGTGCCCAGGTAACTAACAGCTGATCAGTCCGTCTGTGTTTTCTTTATTCAGTTATTCATTTGTCTCTACTATCATTTGTTCCTCTGCTGGTGTCCTCTTGTTATTAGGGTGTTTTAATTATCCTGAAAAGGTTTTACAGTGTGCTTTTATTATTTTAGATTCAATGCCTGAATTTAACCATGCCTGTCTGTAGCCTGTATTCTTAGACTAGTGTAATACAAGTTGAACAGTTATAGTAATAATAATAATCAGAATCTAAATTCAGTCCTTTGGCATCTGGATGAAGTATTAAGTTTAACTTGTGGAAACCTGCAGCCCCCTCTTCTCTTATCCACCTGTCTTCACTCGTCAGGTATCATGAGTGGATGAAGTCTCCTGAGCTGCAGCAGCTGACGGCCTCAGAGCCGCTGACCCTGGAACAGGAGTACGACATGCAGAGGAGCTGGAGGGAGGATGATGACAGTGAGGGGTCATTTGCCTACAATGTGCACACACAAAATGACAGTTATAAATACCCTAAAGCAGTGGCTACCAACCAGGGGCCACCATACAATTAACAGACAATTATTTATTTATTTTATATGAATTACTGGACTCTCTTTTTATACATTCATACCGTCATCCTTCAGATTTGTTAGAAAGCAAAGCTGTTGTATTTGATTTATTTTGTTTTATTTTATTTTGCTAGAGTGCACATTCATCATCCTAGACAAGCAGCGGTGGGCAGACCCCGGTGTAGAGGAGGAGCAGTGCATGGTGGGAGATGTCAACATCTTCCTGACTGACCCCACAGACCCCTCCTTGGCTGAGCTGGAGATCATGATAGCAGGTGAAGCTCAATGAGTTTATCTTGAAAATTATTCAAAGGCAAATAAAAAGCTTCTGAAACATCTAAAATCAGCTGGTGTTTTGTTTTTAACACATCAACCGTTTCCCACATGCTTCTCTCTATTTTGACGCCAAACTCCCCTGATACTGATAAAGTTTCTTGTTTTTTACTAGAGGCGAGTTACAGAGGGAGGGGCATCGGGAAGGAGGTGATACGCATGATGATGTGCTACGGTGAGTAGCTTATACAGGCTGTCAGAAGATTCCTTAAAGCTTGTTAACAGCCTAAATGAACCTGAAATGTGTTACTTACAGCAGGTTAAAGCTTGACTTTCTATTTTTGAGCAGTTAAAGTTGGTCTAGTGTTATGTTCGTTGTTGCCAACCTGTGCTAGAGCCAGAAAAATAATAAAGAAAAATTTGCCAATCAGTGGATCAGACAGAGCAGTGGATTAGACTGATTGATTTACAGAAATAACAATTCTTAATTTGTTGTTTTTCTTTTTAACTGCTCCTAATAATCACAACTGCAGCTCATGTGTCAACCGAAAATGAAGGGATTACCTGCTACTGATTGGTACGGTGGCCCTGAGAGCTCAATGCACTGCAACTTAAAAAAACATGCAAACTGCATCTCTCTCTCTCTCTCTCTCTCTCTCTCTCTCTCTCTCTCTCTCTCTCTCTCTCAAGGAATTAAGGCAAAAAATAAATCTAAAAGATAAAAGTCATGAACATGGCCGGGACGCCCCTGGAAACACTCCTGTTGTGTTTTGTGAATTTGCAGAGCGTTTGTGTATTTGCATGTGTTTTCTTCAGTGCATTGAGCTCTCAGGGCCACCATAGATGGCTATGGCAAAGCAAAATGATGAGCAATGATCAAAACACCAGAAATCAGACAACAACAAACATTACACTGTGGAAGAGGGCAACACATAATCTGCACCAACTTTCACCAACAAAACAAAAAAAAAGGTCTCTGAAAGATGCCACCATCACAGAAAAATTCTACTTATAGTGGCTTTGACATAGTTTTAATTTGAAAAAGAAATAAGGCCTTTGTGCATTTCTGAATGTGAATGGTGGTGATCAGTGTCTTGTCTCGTCTTCCACCAGGAGCCACCAAACTCGGGGTCAAAAAGTTTCAAGCGAAAATCGGGCTGGACAATGAGGTCAGCATCGGCATGTTCAAGAAACTCCACTTCCAGGAGGTAATAAGATCACGTGTTCTCACTGTGTGACAAGCCTGAAAATGTAAAAGCTCTGTAAGTGGATCTGACCGTCACACCTCGTGTCTGCGGCAGGTGTCGGTGTGTAAGGTGTTCAAAGAGGTGACCCTTGAGATGACGGTGGATGAGTGTGTTCGGACGAAGCTGCTGGACGACACGACCTTCATGAAGGAGAGGGACTACACACAGACCTGTGGCAACAGGCAGGAACTGGTTTCACAGTGAAGTGTCGTAGCGCTGCATCCTCACATCCTAAAGACTTCCAGCTGTGAAGCAGATCATTCTGCACAGCTGAAGAAACCCGGGAACACCAGGCTGAAAACCGTTGTGTGGTTTGGACTTTTGCATACACACACACACACGTGCATGTAACATAGTCCCTAGATGAGAGGAGTGATACCATTCTCATGTCTGTACAGTTAATATGAAGCAACAGCCAGCAGCTGGTTAGCTTAGCTTAGCGCAAAGACTGGAAGCAGAGGGAAACAGCTAGCCTGACTGTGCCCAGAGGTGCATTCTCAAAAATGTCAGTGTTCCTTTTAAAATTGAAAACCACAGGAAGAAGAAAAGCTTTTCCTTCCACACTAAAAGCCCACAAAGTTCCATTAAATTGGCTTTTTCCCCAATGGCACTTTTAACGGGGAAAGTATAACGAAAGCTTTATATGCATTTAATAGGCCAGTCATTGTTTTTGGGGTTTTTTTCTATGTCCAGACTAACTGCTTTTCTCTGAAGCATTTGTGGTAGTCTCTGATGCTGAGCGCCAGAGAGAGAGAGAGAAAAATGAAAGATGAAGTATAGGTTGGTGGTTTCTAGTGGAAGTGGTTCATTTTATTTGGGTTGGCATCCAGTTGAGTCTTTGTGCAACTTTTATAAACCATACATGATTTTAAAGCACAAATCATCATGATTCTGTCTGGGTTAGGTATTTTAAGATCCCAGTATCACTGCAACTACAAGCGCTTGTGTTGTAACAGCAGTGCATGGAAATTTAAAAAACTAATTCTGTGTGTAGCTGTTTTGGCTTGTATACAAAAACAGGGGTATTACTAAGGGTTTAAAGATGTTTTTTTTAAAACGTAAGTGCAGAAAATGAGCCTGAATACATAAAAAAAAAAAAAAATCATGTCAGCATTTCGAAGCATTTCCACGAGTGAAACGCATCTCCTGTGCATTATAGCAAACATGTTTGTCTCACATTCCTCCTAATTGCAGCATTAGTCGGCTGCATTTCTCATAATTTTCTCGTTCAGGACAGAAAGGCTGGTGGTTGAGATTAAATGCCAAGTGCATGAGCTTTATTGATCTAACGCCTTTCATATCAAACTGCATGTGAAATGGAGGCCTATCATTCTACATGCTGAAGCCACCCAGTGTTATTTCCAACTATTCCAGTCGAGTTACGGACAGATCAACCCAAGTTAAGTTAGACTAAAATTTATTTGCATGTTGTTTTTGTTTTCTTTTTAAAGTAATTAAAAAAAAATGTTCAGATAATGTCACCTCTGTACTTTATTTATATTTAATAATTTCCAGTTTGAATTGAACATTAGCTAAAGATAAGACCGTAAAGCACAGAGTTATTTGGCGTAAAGATGGAAATAAACCGCAATGTGATCGTAATTTTAAGTTGGGTTTCCTGATGACTTTGGTGAGCGTCTAATTATTTTTCCTCTAGTGCCACTATGAGGTTGATGTTTCTGTTTTTTAGCGGAATATCTTGATTGTTATCACTTTGCTGATCCACCATCAGGTCATCATCGTTCTTTGTCCAATACTTTTGTCTATAACCAAATACCTGCAAAACTAATGACATTCCCATCAGCCTCAGTCATACTTTGTGCCAGTTAGCAAATGTTAGCATGCTAACAGGCTAAACTAACATGGTAAACATTGTAGCTGCTAAACATTAGCATGCTGATGTTAGCATTTAGCTCAAGGTGCCGTTGTGACTTAGAACAGCCTCACTGAGCTGCTAACATGGCTGTGGGCTCTTAATCTAGTTGGACTTCCATTACTGTGAAAAGCATAATAACTAATTTCATTATAACTTATTTCCTAGATTGATATAAATTTGCCAGATTGATTAGTTTCATCAGGCTAATGGTGACTGTGGTCACTGGCTCTCACAGGCTGCTCTCTGTCATATGACGTGGTTTATGGTCTCATGTGTCAGTCGTCATATGAGCTAATTCACATTAACGTTTGCAGAATTGACTATGGAGGTCTAATGTGTGGATCAGGAAATGGATATTTCCCATAATGCAAATACATTTGTTTACAGTTTCTTGAGCTCCGTGCTGTTGTGGTGGAGTTGTTATTGAAATGTCCTTTCCGTCTTTAAATCAACCCTGTATGTTAGTTTGTCTTTGTATAGAAAATGAAAAAAATACAATATAAAGTTCATTTTTGATCTTGCAAAAAATAGTTGAGAATCTCACCACGAGGTCCATTTAGTGGCTGTTCTGGAGCTTTTGGTCATATCACATGACTTCAGCTTTTAAGCCAATATGGTTAAAAAAAAAATCCTTAAATTGCTCAGAACTAAAAAGAATAGCCATGAAACTGACTTGTTGTGTCATGGTCTTCGTTAACTATAAGTCAGTATATTTCTGTCCTCAAATGTATTCGGTGATTTTAAATTATTCCTCAGCCACTGTCCTTGTGGTGTCATAAGGCAGCGTGAGCAGGGAATTATGTATCTTGTGATATAAAGTCGTTTTTATGTCACGTACTGCAGCATCCTCAGCTCCACGTGGAAAGCTTTAGGGGACTAAAAGTTTTAAATTGTTATGGAAAAATAAATCAATTATAATAATGCAATTTGGACTTAACTCTAAGATCGACTAAAATGTCCCTCTAGCAGAGTATTGAAACATGCCAAGTACCACAAGCTGACACTGAATGGTTATTCTTCTGCTACAAAAACACGACGCTCAAATGTTTCTTGCAGTGCATAGCCATTTAATGACACTGACGATGTTTGAGCATGGACAAAGCTGTACAAGAACCAGTGCAGCAAAGGCAGCAAATGTTTCATTTCAAAAAATCACCGGTTAAAACTGAAAGAGAACAGGAAAGTCATGTCTGTCAGATACAAAGAAGAAAGGCATTTGAAAGTTTGTCCTTTATTCACCAGATGATATGCAGTCAAATGCTGTGACCACTGCACAAAAAGGACCATACTATATTTATGTGATATCCCCTTAGCAACAAAACGTGAATACTTGTTATAATCTTTTTTTTATATTTATAAACTTTTTTGCAAATGTGCTGCTGTTGCGTTTCTGTATTTTTCAAACTTCTGTGCAGCCACTGGTTTCTATTTTGTCTGTACAGTCTGAAAAATTAATCAGTCAGTTCATTCCTGTTTACTGGAGGTGCAGATTTGAATGTGCACGGCTTTGACAAATTATTGAAAGCTTCACGTTCAGTGTGATGAATTAAACAATTCCAGCAAGTTTCAAAAGTCTGCTAACTACTTTTCAGACTGTGTGGATATGAATGGAAACCAGTGACGGCAGGGAAGCAGGAACAAGACATTCAAAAGTCTGAAGCATGATTTGCAAAACAGTTATTTGTGATGTAGCATGTAACAGAAGGGTTAACACATGCAAAATCTCTGATACATCATTTTTGTGCTTTGGCAAGAGCCTGACTGATACCAGATTTTAAAGGCCAATAAAGATATCACTGTTAGAGTTGAGTTTAAGAAAAATATGATGACAATATATCGGCTGATATTATTTTTATTCTTTCAAACAAACTTGGGTTGAAACGATTAGTCCATCCACAGGAAAATAATCAGCAACTATATTTGATGAGTGATTAATCATTACAGTAATTTTTCAAAAATAGTGAAAAAATGTCAAACTTTTTTTTTTTTGCTGCAGCCCTAAAATAAATACAAAAACATTTGCTATAAGTACCCTTTAAATTTGTTTATTACAGAGTTGTGACCAAGATGCATAACTTACTTAGCAGGACATTTTGCTCTCTGGTGGACAAACTGTAATGACAACACTGTCTTTGGCATTGTTGCTGCAGTTTCTTGTTAGTCATCAGCCGACATATACGCCAGTTATATATCCGTGATTAGTTGAAATCTGCTCATGTATCAGTTGGGCTTTAGTTTGCGTGACAGATGGTTTTGTGAGATTTAGCTGCTTTAACTGATTTAAGACTCTAAAAGGCGGCGGAGAGCAAAGACAATCGAGCTCTACATTCACAAAGCCTTCGCTGCACATGCTCAGACTGCCACATCTGACTCTGATTGGCTGATGCACAACTCTGACCGGCGGTTAACATGCGACTCGACACTGCAGTGCAGCACAGACAGGGCCACCTGACATTTCACTGATCATCTCTCAAATGCAACCCGCACTCCATGCCATGCACTGAAACACAAACCGAACCCCTGGTGCTGGTCCAAGTGCAAAACATGGTGGGTGGTGAGACATTTAAGATGATGGCTCTTTTTTTTTTTTTTTTTTTAAAAACAGGCTGTAGTACAAAGAGGATACAAGAGCGACAACAATTCCATAGGAATTTAAGATGATTTTGACACATTTGTCCATCCCCCTTTGTCAATCTGTACAGACTCCACCTCCCAGCACCACAAACAGGGTGAGGGGATGCAGGGTTGCCCATCTTAATGAGAATTATGATTTCAGCATATTTAAAATAAAAAAAAAAAAAATCCTAGGATTCACAGGTGAGAGTGGAAAACCTGCAGCTCTGAGTTTTGATGGAAGCAGGTGAGTGTTTAGTTCTTAGACGTTTGCGTGGATTCAAGAAACTCCTTCGCAGCAGATGACAGATTTTGCACCAGTTGTCTGACCACACCCTCCTGCTCTCTGGCCCAGGATAGGCTGTCGTCCACGGCGACGTTGATCGGCACGCACACGTCTTCCTTCTGCAGGTCGGTCAGCCGGCAGGCGGTGACGACGCCGGCCAATCCCAATAGCAGCAGGAGGAGGAGCTTGAACAACAGGCCAATGAGAGAACGTCGAGGTTTAGGAGCCGATTCCACGACGACCTTTTTACCTGCTGAGATTAAATGAGAGAGGGTGACATTAGAACGACTTCTATAATACGACAAACATCTATCCATCGTTCCAGACCTTTATTCCCACCTGCTGCCTGTCCGTTCTTTTTCTTCTTCTCTTCGCTCTTCTTCTTCTGTTGTTCTTGTGCAGCTATGGCAGCCTTTTGAGCGTTGTACTCCTTCCTCCTCTTCTCCTTCTCCTCTGCCTTCTCCCTTTTACGAGCCTCCTTCTCTCTGGCCTCCCGCTCCCTCTGCTTCGCCTCCTTCTTCCTCTCCAGCTCTGGGTTGAGGGATGAAGAGAAATGTCACATATGCCAATGACAGCACATTATTTTAATTGTGTCTCAGGATGCTTGTTCCCGGTTTCCTGTCATAAATAAAATGCATTTCATCCTCAGCTCTACATCTCAGCAGCAAAACTGTTATGAGGCTAAAAAAGCACAACTTGGAGGAGTCCAACAAAACAACCACAACTTTGCTTTTTGTTCGTGGCCAACTATAATTAATCATCTCACAACCCCCCAGAATTGTATTGTGACCCCCAGGTTGCAAACCACTTGAAAATACTATCAAACTGTATCTGATGTAGTTAAAACTAGCTCTTTCCCAACTAGCTACAACAGTAAAATGTTACAGGTGGATATGACATGGTATCTGAGTTTCACTTACTTTAAAATACACTTACTTTTTAAATGAAACTGTCAAAATTTCTAACCTTTTTTTGTACCTGAACAAGCAAGTAAACAAGACTCCAACTCTGACTAGATGCTCTGTGCTACTGAAACATACCAGTCTGTACCATAAAGGTGTTGAGGTTTGATGTCTAAATCTATAGAGCAAAATGCAGTCGGTCATCTCCCACAACTTTTTCACTGATACCAACCTTTTTCCCTCAACAGGCGCTTCTCTCGTGCACGATCCACCTCATCCTGAATGGATCTCATGTGCTGCAGAACCTGAAATAAAACCGCAGACTTTTAAGTTTTGGACACTTGCAATTTAAATACTATGTGTAAACTGGTTGATTGATCACTCTGTATTTCTCTGTCACCTTGGAGGCACACTGTTTGCACTGCTTCTCATCCAGACAGTCTCCTGCTGCCTTGGCCAGGACGGGCTCCAGCGGGTTATCCTTCAGATCCAACCACTTCAGACTCTGTGCACAAACACACACAAGCCAAAGTTAAATAGGATGTGAGGTTTGACTACACTCAGCTTCTTACAATTCACACAAGAGCAGAGCACTAAAATATATCAGCAGAGGTTAGCACATGCTCAAGTCTATCACCAAGTATTTACCATTAAAGAAATAGTCTGACATACACTGAAGCTTCATATTTACTATATACATATGAGAGTGGCATTACTCTTCTCATCAACTACTCAGGAAGAAAGCCAATAAGCACACTGACATGTCAATCTATTCACTTAAGAAAACAACATCAGGTTAAAGTATGAAGTGTAAAAACCGAATAGGAGCTGGGTGGTCACACTCTTGATTTTACACACACACACACTGACGTTGCAGCTTTATGTTACTTGGATCAGTACATACACGTGTTACATGAACAAACACTGCTCCTTTCTGGCACCCACCCTGAGCTGAGAGAAGCTGACAGGCAGGACAGTCAGCTTGTTGTTGTACAGATCCAGATGTTGAAGGTTGGCCAGGTTCCCCAGGTCATCCGGTAGACAGGTAAGCTGGTTTTTACTCAGATCCACTTTGACAAGGTGGGTCAGGTTGCAAAACTCTGGCTGCACGAAAAACAAACCCCGCCAAAGAAAAAAGAACATCAGTCTTAATGTTCTCTGTTTGTTCACCACTGAGGTGAGGAAAATCTGCAGAGGAGTTTAATGATGAATGGAGCAGCTCTAAATAGAATTATGACACAAGTAGAAACAAGGTATTAGATATGCATCAGCTACCAGAGTCTGCTGAAGTGACCTAGAAGGTGTGAGAGACTTAAAAAACAGACTTAAAATAAACTCAAACTCACATTAATCTTTATTTAACTAAGGCCAAACCACCTCCAAGTAGTTAAGAGTGTTATTAATGGAAAAGTAAAACACATTTGTTTCACATCAATCTTTTTAGAACACCTAAAATAATATTTTTTACTGTTTGATTTCAAACAGTTTCAAAACCTTACTTCTTTTGCTTGGAGATTTCAATTAAATCTTTTTGAAATTAAAATACTGAAAACACTTAAAGCAGTGGTTTTCCACCTAGGGTCCAGGGGAAATATGAGGGTTTATAAAACAATTAAAAGGGATGAAGTGTAATAAAAGAAAATAAGATTCAGTTTTACATTTTCTTGAATTTTCTCTGGATACTTTTACCTCTTCAGGCCTCTAAAGAAGATAAAACTTTAAGAAAAAATAAAAACAAAGAGTAGGTTACTCCACGGTTCAACTGCACCTAACTCAATATAGGGGTCACAAGCCAAAAAAGGTTGGGAACCACATATTCAAGGGGTAAAATGGTGTGTTTAACTACAGTATGATTGTGTTCATACTCACAGGAAGGGAGGTAATGTTGTTGCAAGACAAATCCACAACGGTTGCTTTGGGGAATAAAGCCTGTTGGGATCAATAATAGCATGAGTCAGTTTAATATAGGCTGTAATTGCAGTGGTGGAAGAAGTACTCAGGTCCTTGACTAACATAAAAAAAAAAGTACCACAATTTAAAAATACTCTGTTACAAATAAAAGTCCTATAATCAAAATTCTACTTGAGTAAAAGTTTTACCAGCAAAATGTACAAAAAGTATTCAAAGTAAAAGTTATGATTTTGCAGAAGAGTCCCTAAAGGTCCTGAAAGCTATTTTCTTTCAATCTTATTTGCACAAGATAATATACTGTCCACACAGGTTATTATCTTGCAAAATAAGATCACACAGGGACCTAATGAGCTGATAGTTTTGTTACAATGGAAATTACTCGCACAACTCCAACTTGAGTCTAATCAGCCTCAGTAACTGAAAACATCTATGTAGGTATCTATAATCCAAGGGCGTAGGTTTGCATATGGACATATGTACTGTATATGTGAACTCATTCGCACTATCTTTGATGTAAACTCATATTAGATCATTCCAATGTGCCCTCCAAGAGACTGCGTCTCCAAGACAACTGATTTGGGCATGTTAGCATTTGATTGACTGAAAGGGCGGAGCTATCTGAAGGCTCACGTCATGTGAGAATATGACAGTGGTACCTAACGTCACCAGAAAAATGTCAACTGATGTTAATTAACCATGTTAGCTAGCGCTACCTAGCAAGCTAACCCTGGCTTCTGTCTTCTGCAGGCTAGCAGTCAGGTTGCTAGCAGGAGTAAACATAAAATGGTGGATATATCAAATTATGAGTTTAATTTCTGTCAAAAAATCCCATGAAAATGTCACCATGAATACTGTGACATTTTTATGCCTTACTATATTAAAGCTTATCATACTATGACTTTTTTGCCTCACAATACTATGAGTTTAGGCATAAAAATGTGAAGATTTAAGTTTATAACATATATAAAATACTCATAGGCCTAATAAAATGCAACTTTATTAAAACGACACCCTTATTAAAATTATATTTGTATAGGATTTTCTTAATAATTTCTTATTAAATTTAAACATACAAGTCTATCTTTTATATTTGCATACATAATATGAACTAACCTAAACTAATCAACCTGTTTTGCTTAACTACGACATAAAAATGTCATAGTATAATAAGGCATGAAAATGAAAAATTGAATTAACAACTTTCACTTGTTTTGGAGTAATATTTGACCAGTATTTATACTTTGACTCAAGTAATATTTTATAAGGTGATAATGTGTTTAGCATGTAAATTCAATAGAGTAGAAGAATAAAGTAGAATAAATTGGAAATATTCAAGTAAAGTACAAGTAATGAGAATTATCTTTAAACATAATATTTCAGCAAATGTTCTTAGTTATTTTCCACCACTGTGAAATTGCATATGATATTTAATCAGCATTTTAACCAAGAAACATGGTGACACCTTATCAGCTGAAACCACAGCAGGATGAGTCTTCAATCTGAAGCCACAGTACACTGTTTTAATGTGATTTGTGTAATTTAACAACATTTAAACAACACAAACACCACGAGTAACTTACCAGCTCTCTGACTGGCACCTCAGTGAGGTTACACAGGCTCAGGTCCACTTCATTACCGCTGATTTTATCCTTCAGATTCAACACTTTGCTGTTTTTACTCATTCTGGAGTCTGTGAGAAAAACGCACAGCAGAGTCTGAGAAATAAAACACTGACATGAGGGAATTTTGAGCCAAGTTTAACAACAGGAAACACCTGAAACGTTAACGGTCCACACGGTCTGCTCACCTGAAATGAAAGCTGTGACAAAACTGTGGTCGGCGTGAGAAACGACGGAGAGAAAATGAGCGGCCCAGCTCCTAAAAATGAGGAAAGTTCGTGGAAAAAGCTCCGAAATGTTGGTGAGTCTGTGTTTTTTGGGCAGCGGTGACTGCCTCAATGAAAATCCACGTCACTGATTGAACGACAGCGCGGAGACGTTGAATTGAACAGCGCCCCTTGCAGCACCGGAGGTGAGCACATATTAAAAAATAAATAAATAGTGACAGTAAAAAAAAAAAAAAAGGAAGGGAGGTATATATATATATATATATATGTGTGTGTGTGTGTGTGTGTGTGAGTGTGTGTGTGTGTGTGTGTGTGAGTGTGTGTGTGTGTGTGTGTGTGAGTGTGTGTGTGTGTGTGTGTGTGAGTGTGTGTGTGTGTGTGTGTGTGAGTGTGTGTGTGTGTGTGTGTGTGGGTGTGTGTGTGTGTGTATATGTATGTATGTATGTATGTATGTATGTATGTTTATACTGTAGACATAAGTTACATATATATCCATCCCAAAGACTGTCAGTATATGATGATATTCTGTCTGAGACCAGTTTCCCAGAATGTGAAGTTAGGCATGTTAAAAATTAATGAGAAATAAATGAGAACAACATATAGGTTTTAACATGTTTGTTGTTTTAATAGTGTCCTATAAATGAATTAAATATATAATGTTAAACACGTTAAACACATGTTAACACATAGTTTTTACATGGAAAACATATGTGTTCTATGTAAAGTTTTATCACATACATATTTTTAATACATATACATATACAAATTTTACTATGGGTATTTCATATATGTTATAAACGTATATCTTCATATATCCAGAGGATGTGTATATGTGATAATAATATGTCCCCTTATAGGTGACATATATGGCAACACTTACTATACTGTCCTGTCATCCCCTCCCAGGAGAACCATTCACATTTGGCCTCAGGTGACTCCAACGACTGAGTGTATGTATATCTATAAATAACTCCATCCACATTGGTTCAAAACAAGCTGCTGGTAAAACAAATGTACAGTACAAAGAAATAAGCAGAGGGACGTTTTGTTTTTATGGTTTATTTTTCGACATAGACTGATACATGTTTTCAGATCACAGGACTGTTACTCCATTAGAATTCATCCATAAAGAAGCTGCAGATGTGGATTTGGAGGAACATCATGACTGACAAGTTCATACTGGAACTTGGGGCAGCATGAATGATACAAGTATGTTTACCCCGGCATGCTTAATTTTTCTATATATTACAAATTCGGTGGATTCATTGAATATTGTGAATATTACATATTAAGTGCATTACTGACCTGTGAATCTTTATATAAGAAAGACTTTACACACAAACCTAGTGCAGGATTTACAAATACCTGATGCAACCAGTCACAGGTGTGAACACAGATTACAAGGTTAGTGCCCAGTCACACATACACACAAAAGCTTTCCTGGGATTCAGTTTCATATGATAAGTCTTGTTAATAATCATAATATATGTCAGTCACGTGTCATGCAGCAATTACTGTGCAGTCTACCAATTGGAGAAAATACAGACTAAAAACAGAGTGGCAGCTGTGACATAGAAAATGAAGAAAACTTTGTTGATTGTTTTCGTTTTTCTGCTCCAGTAGCCTGCAGACTTTCCTTCCTCCTTCCTGTTGTTGAGGAGCAGATTCAGTGTTTTCACCACCTCCCTCACATCATCTGAAAGCTTGTCAAAGCCCTGTGACACGTCCGACAGTTGGCTGCTGCTAACCTGAAACAGCCGTTTTGAAGACTGTGGTTAATTCGTGCAAATATGAACCAAATAACATAAACAACATCACCAGCTGTGGCTTTTGACATTCTGACTTTTGTGTACAGTATAGTAAGAAGGATGAGGGATTAAAAAACTACCTCCATGTTGTAACTCATGTTTTCTTTTTTCTATAATATGCCATGTTATTTTTATTATTTTTTTTATCACATGTGTTGCACGTATAAAGTGCAACGTAATCCCAACCTTCAGCAGTTCAGTTGGCGTTTCATCAGCAGACACATCACAGACACATGAACAGTGATTCCACTTCTTCTCTTCTGGAAGGACATATAAGGCACAAAAGATGATTGTAGCATATTCAAAGTTGTATAAGGAACCAGTCTGTATTATAAGTTATAAACATGCCTGTTTCACATTATTCAGAAGGGAACTAAAGGTGGACATCACAGTAACAGTACAATTATAACAGAGTAGCTTCTTTGCCTCTGCACAAATTGACCAGACTGTTGCCCCAGCTATGTTTAAGTTTATATAAAGTGTAAGGTACATCCCAGTTCCTTTATTGCATCCACGTTCCTTTGGCCCAGACGGGTCAACATGCTGCAAAAGCGACTGAAAAAAGTGAAAACAGTTTTGGGTTTAGTGGTAACCTGCACTCAAACTTGCAATAAAACTTACGTTCAGCTGGGGCAACAGGCCGCAGGTGTGTGCCTTTGTCTTTGGGTATATCCATATAAACATTAATATAAACTACATCTTTTTCACAGTGATTCTGACCTCCTTCACAGTCGTGGGAGTTGGCTTTGCCTCGTTTGTCCCCATGGTCCTCACTCAGGCTTTGGTCTTTATCTGTCTCACTCTCTTGGGATGCAGAGTCTCTGTCTAACAGATACATGATGAAAACCGTCTCCAGGAGGCTGAGCATCATCAGGGCAAACATCCCAAGGCAGTAGACAGCTGAAGGGAGAAGGCAGCTTCATTCATGTCTACACATTGAGCCAGTATATGTGCTGTTACTACTTATATGAAGTATAGTCCAACAAAGGCAAGACTGATATCCTAGTTTCTTATCAGCCACGCAGGCGGTGCGACTCATGGCGGTGTCTGTGAGTCATCCACCACTTTGGTCTGGGCCTAAATATCAGGACAACTACGGACGCACTGAGATAAAAGTTTGTACTAATATTCATGTTCCCCAGAGGACGGCGTGTATTTACCTTGGTGATCCCTTTTCAATCTAAAGCCATATTCAGTTCAAAAATGAGATTTGTTCATTTAGGTTATGACCGTACCTGCAGAACTAACAACATTCCCATCAGTTTTACCTATAAGTGGAATCCTGTTTGACGAGGAAGGCAGGATTTCATTCAGAATAAGTTGCATCACAGTGACAGCAAGCAGCACGGTGACCTTGAAGCTCAGCTTCTCGCCCCCGTTGTCTGAGATCAGGAAGGAGGCCACGTCCAGACACAAGAAGAACAGGATGGGTACTATGAAGTTGATGATGTAGAGGGCAGACCTCCTCTTCATTTTGATCTGTGAAATGATTTAAATGTTAATTACTTGAGAAAGGCTAAACTACAGCAAACATGTAGTGCACAGCTTGCAGCAACAAACTAAACTGCACCAGTCTGCTCATGTAAGGGTAACAGTTCCCAGGTGGAAAAGTATAAGTTAAATTTTCATTTAAACAAAACAATTGTTGGGTGACTACCAAGTAGTTTCAGTTGTGGGGGGGTTTTATATTTTTACATCAGTTTAGGCAAGGAAACGGAATCAAGAAAGGGTGAAATATGGAGGAAAAGAAGAAGATATGGATAATAAAAGGAAGGGAGGACAAATAAATGAAGAGAATAAAGAAGAATTAAAAGGAAGGAAGAAGGAAGAGAGCCAGAAAAGAAAAAAAGAAAAGATATTTCATGAGTTACAAGACCTCATGTTTGAATCTGAAAAGCTGTCTGTTCATTTTTGTAGGACAGCACAAACACAACATGCCCCCCCCCCAAAAAAAGAAATGTAGAGGAGGAATGTGTTAAGTGTATTTGAAGGTCATGCAAAATGGAGATACACAGTTTAATTCCAAGTACCTAAAATTTGTGTTCACTGTGAATAGAAACCAAACAACCCCTCAAAGTTTTTTTGTTGACCTCCAGTGGTTTTAACTTCTCCCTTTTCTGCAGTGATGTACAGGTGTACTCCAGGGCGCCATGACATCACTGTCACTGTACCTCTGACCTCTATAGCACATCAGTTTTTAGAGAGACTTGAAAATTCCCCCAAATATCCTTTAATCTCATGAGTAAACGGCAACTCTTTGCCTCCACATGTCTGCAGCCAGGAATACGTACAGTGTAAATGATTACATCCTGTGTCCACGAAAATCTCTCAACAGTTTTGTTGGTAACTGTCATGTCGATGAACAGCCACTCGTACTGGGTCTGCATCATGTTGTGAGACCACTCTGTGGCGTCTGAAGAGCTGATGGTATGACAAAGCTGCAGTTCTGCGTCTAAGGTGGGAGATAAAAATAAAGCTGTGAGGTTTCTCAGCAGGTTAAACAAAGAAGGAACGTATTGTATGTGGTGTTATCTGGTGGTGTGTCTGTATCTGGTGGCTCTGACTCACTAGTGTAAATGAGAGAGCTGAACGAGAGGGTGCAGGACTGAACGTCGAAGGGGAATTTGTAAACTTGCATCTTGCAGCTGCTGACAAGCACCTGGTCGTTCAGAAGAAAGACCTCACCGTCATTCATGATAGTGAGACGGGGACTTGGAGGGGCGCTTTCTGTCCTGTATGATGACACACAGAGATGCTGTCTATAAACACACACGCATGCCCATATTATAGTTCTACTAGAGAACATCAACTGAGAAAACATCAACACTGGCACAATGTGGATATGAATTAATAAGCAGCCTTAGTTGAAAAGAGCAGCAAAAATAGTGACAGCTAACGTCTTGTAAACAAATGTAAAGTTGCAGAAACTAATTCCTCGACTGGACTATCGATAGACAGACGATCATTTTCTTACCAATTTCACATCTGTGAAAAAAAGTACAAAAGCTTCTTCTAACTGGACAGCATGCAGACAGCAGAGGGGTATGGCCTTGGGTGAAAGGCCTTTAACTTTGAGGAAACACCATGGATGTATTAAAGGAGCTGGATACGCTGCCACCACTCGGGCTTGTTGCCAATCTGTCTTGGTGATAAAACATACACTTACATCTCTTTAATACTGAGATCCGGCTTCCACAGGACTTCGGCAGGAAGGGAAACACTGTCAATGCCACAAAACTCACTTTCATTCCATGAAATGTGTTGATTGTTCCAGTGCTACAGAGCAGAAACAACATCAGAAGATAAAACAGAATAGTAATGAAAGTGAGGATGAGGGAAATGTGAGTCTCCGGGCACAGAGAGAAGTAAGGATTAATTCAAATGCTGTAGAGTATAAGAAAACTCACCATGGTAATCCAAATATGCGGAATGAATATCTGGTCAGTCTCTTTCTATAAACAAGCAAATAACATTGCCTGTAAAACAGAAAGCACTTGGAGAACACACAACGTTATCAACATAAAACCTGCTCAGTCGTAATCATATAGACAGTATTTTAAAGCAACCTCACTTGAAAGTCGCTTTGGATAAAAGCGTCTGCCAAGTGAGTAAATGTTAATGTAATACAATATCTGGCTGCCGTCAACAAACAGCCAAAACCAATGCTTTAGAAATGGCTACGTTGCAGTACGATCCATTGTAAGCAGTTCACTTGTTAACCCATGGAATAACTTACTCCCAGATTAATCGAAAATCTTTTGGGAAGTTGTTGATATCCTGGTAAATAACAGAAACCTGACTTAAACAAAAATGATCAGAAACATTAAAGCTTTAACCACTTACCACATCGAGGATGGCATTAAGCAAAATGTCCAGGTATACCACAGTGGGTTGTTTGTGGTCTTTAACAGGCCGGGTCATGAAGTACAGCCCATTGTCTTTGGTTAAGTTCAGGTAGTTTAAAACATCCTGATAACCACACACTCTGTCAGAGGACTCCCCGTCCACAGCTAAAAACATCGAGACACATTCAGTGTGAGGGAGATGATTAACAATTCGATTATAAGAGAAATATTGAAATATACTGATATACTCCTTATTTGAATTTTGAACTTCAGTAGCACTTTCTGTATGTTTGTCTGGTTATCCACGGCTTCAGACTATATCATTGTTTTTTCATTTTCATGTTTATACAGTATGTACGGTGACAAGTATATAGCATGAACAAATACTACATACCAGAGCATTAATAGTCTAACATCATTTGCAATGATGGGCCTTTAAAATACATACATCAAGAATAAAATATACACGAAACAGCATCAAACACAGTTTACAAAGATACAATAAAAATACCATGAAACCATCTTTAAAAACTGTTTCAATTTGAGTTCAAATGATCCGTTTTTAATTCTGTTGCTAAGAAGTTCCACATGTTGATCCCCAAACAGAAAAAGCCATCTGTCCAAATGAGGATTATGAATTTTTAATCAGTCAATAAATCAAACCAGCTCACAAATGACTGCAATAACAATACCCAGTGCTTGTGGTCAAGGACAGATGTTGGCAGACATGTGGATTATCAGATACTTGACCACTAAGTGATTTTCACAATTCTCTTTGTCTAATTAGGCTCCCCATTAAGATCCATCTGTGATAAAACATCAAATGCATATTGATAAAAATCAACCAAGCAACACCTGATTCAGAAAATCACTCCCATACTTTTGCCATCGCATGTCATTCTTTAATTAAATAATAAACTGTAATAAGCTTATAAGCTTTATGGTTGACTTAGCACTTGCTATGCAGATAGCTCGGAGTTTATTTGTCCTGATTCTGATATGTTTGTCTCTGAGATTTCATCCTCTATCCAACATTGGAGGTGGGTGGACGATATTTTGTGGAGCTCACAACATGAAGCATTAAAAAAAAATTCAACAGCAGCATCTGTTTTCTGTCCACATTACTCTTGATTAGTCTCAAACTTCTCTCAGAAACCTTACCTGTGAGGAGGAGCAGAAAGAAGCCAAGAGGCACCATGAGTTCAGGACCAGTGAATCCAAAAGCAGTGAGAGGTGTGTCGAGCAAATGTGTATCCGAGTCCTCTCTGTGCTGTTGAATATGACATTGCAGTAAAAAATATCACTTCCTCACACTGGAAGAGGGCTGGACAAATAAATGACGAACCCTTTTTCTTTTTTTTAATCTCAGTAATCTAACAGTTGAAACAGTAACAGAAAACAGAGGGAACCACTGAAATCTCTCACTCTGTGGGAAGATTAATTGCACCGTCAAACCAAATGCACTGAACAACTTCCTTCATTTGTCATGCAGAACCCAGATTGGTGACTGGATTTATTTGGTGCCACTTTCTGATAAGGCCCCATTTATAAAGGGTTGATAAGTAAAGGCCAGCAGTCCAGCTGGGGATTTGCTGCTCAGGGGATTTGTGCCCATGTTTTCTAATGCGCTAACAACTCTGCTGCTCTGGTGATCCCACCATGAGAGCCATGTCATTCCAAGTCTTGGAGGTGCTCTGGCTCAAACTCCTCATATCAGCTTGATGCTGCTGCTTTGCATTCTGGTGGCCACTATGGCTCTGTCCCAATTTCAACGTGTTTCAGAAGTGGGGCATCCGTTACTCAGTAGAGAATATGTCTATGTAAGACAAGTGGTGAGAGGAAAACTGGCCTGATGTCATGGCTTACTGACAAAAATCAAAAATCAAAAATCAAAAACAGAAAATAATGACTTGGCCATTGTTATTTATGGATCCTGGATCCTTACACTTTTCAGTGCTGGAGGCAACATCATTGCAAGACCTAAAGAAAGTAAACAAGATAGGTAATCAATCAGGGTTCATGTCTTTCTATTATCATGATATCATTATTTTAATAACCCTAAACCATGCATCACTAACTACTTAGAGACCCAATCACCCTTTGAAAATCCATGACATAAACACAACTGTATATTTGTACTGTTGTTTATTTGTACAGATTCTGATACATGTTTTCAAACCAGTCCACAGAACTGATCACAGATCTGCTATTCAGAAGAACTAAGTACATAGGACGTGATGTAGGCTCAAGCGAGAGCAGGCATTAATTAAAAAATCTTCAACATTTTCATGCAAGAATGGAGATATGTATGATAGGATGTATGATACATTGTCCATATTACATGGCAAAGACACAAGTTATAGAGTGCATTACATGCAATCAACAGCCCTTCAGGAGCTGTAATATACAGAAGAACTAAACATGGATGGACCACATCAAACACATTACCTCACCAGCTTTGCTAGAACCAAGATGTGGGAAATCAAGGCTTTTATGAGAACATCATTTTATGTATGCATCTTCCCACAGAGCAAGATATGAAAAAGAAAACCGCCGTTAAGTGCTCACAGCGCAAACAGCTGATGTGAAAGTTGATGTTACTGTGATTTGTGGGGCGGAGGCTGGGTAATCAGCATTTGCGGGAACATTTTTACACTGTTCAGTGTGCTGGAGCCGAGCCGCTAACTGTTATCTGGTCTGCAAACTGACACTAACGGTGCTTTTCCCCAGTGGTGGTGGATCGACAATCTAAGGTGCGTGACAAGGCTTGTTTGTAAGTTAGATAAGGAAGAGACTTGAGAAGAAATGTTGTTGTTTTTCAAAGTCTGTGGCTCTTGTGTTGTGTTGCAGGCTGCTGTCTGACAGTCATTGGTGTGACCATCTGTCTCTGATGGAACTGTGAGGTTACTGCTTCAGCGGAAATGATTGAAAATGACAGGATTTGAATGGCTGTGTGGAAACAAGTTCTAACAGAGAACTAACAGCATTCTGTTCACTCAACCCACAAATTGGCACCATTAACCAACAGACAGCTTGTTGGTGCTGACCTTTAAGTGGACGGAGCATCAGGAATAGAGGAAGTAATCACAGCTCATTAGTGGTTACTCCATTCACTTGTATTTTGTATTTAACTCTCGTCTGTCAGAGTAGAAACTGCTCCATAAAAGAGGAATGGTTTGCAGGCACTTATGAGACATGAATCAATCGTACAAATACATATGTATAACTGTGACTAGGCCATACCATGTGTTTTCTGTCCTCAACAGTCAATGCACATTATTTCAAATGGAATAGTGGCAATAAAACAGGTACACAGGTGTGCCAAATAAACCTGGATTGAAACACTTACTCAATTGTGTTTTCATTATGTAGCAATGACCATTTCTATGCATTGTTCCATTTTAAAAAGATGTAAGCTAAAAACACACTGACCACTGTGACATAGAAAATAAAGAAAACTCTGTTGACTCTTTTAGCCACTCTGGTCCAGTAGCCGGGCTTGAACTCGTCCTTCCTGCCGTTGAGGAGCAGAGTCAGTGTTTTCTCCATCTCCTTCAGCTCGTCTGAAACCTTCTCCAAGGCGTGGGACTCCTCCACCAGCTTGTTGCTGTTCTGATACAAGAGAGGTTTATTAGACTTGTTAATACAATTGTGGCTTGTAACAGCTGTTACATTTGAAATGTATTTTGATGTATTTTGTGTGTGTCCTTTGTGATGAGGATGAAGTGCAATCCAGTTCTAACCTCTTTGGCCACGGACAGCAGTTCAGACGAAGGTCCACCATCACCATCATAGATACACGCACACTGAGTCCGTTTGTGCAGCTCTGAAAGGACAGTTTTTTCCTTTTATTAACCAGATTCAAAGTAATACAATTAACAAGTATGTATTATTAGAAAAATAACTACAATACACCATAACAGTTAAAGAAGTTTAAGAATAGCTTTTAGGTTGCCAATCCATTACTAAGTTTATCTAAAGCAAAAATATATACGATGCTAATGGAAAATTAAAACCACTATTATGAAAATTCCCTGTGACAGCGGTCGTGTCGTGGATGTTGATTTCATACAGCAGGGGGCGCAGCTTTACTGTGTACGAGCGGTGGTCTCACTGAGAGTTCAGAGGGAATAATAATCCTATGCTGTGTAAGAATCACTCAGCTCAGTACAGTGACATGTTGGTTCAATGTTGTGTGATATACTTCAATCTGTATTTTGTGTGATTAATGTGCAGATTGTTTTATATTTGCCTAATATCTTTTAAAATGGACATATTGTAAAAGCGAAAATCTGACTTCATACTCCACACAGGGCAGCGTGGCGACTGTTTCTCTGTTTGTTTTTTTCCATTAGTTGCCACTGCTGTATTTTGTATCATGTTTTTCTTTTGTCATATTATCAACTGTCTTTTCTGCTCATGAAATTAAAAAAAGGAAATAATTGTCTATGACTTATGTCTAAAGTTATTGGCAGGACGTTTTGTAATTTTAGGTATTTAAATTCTTCCCAGTTTACATCATTATTAAACAGCTTTTCAATGAGGTTAAGTCAGGTCAGGTTGTTGACCACAGTCCATATTATCTACCTCTTTTCCTTATAGAAACAGGCTTGTTTTGTCAGTTGGTTTAGTCAGCTCTGCAACAGTTAGCGCCAGTTATTAGGTATATTTTGTAACAACTAATCTCTACCTAAGGACACTTTGTGCACCTGGATCCTGGTCTCACCTCCGTGACATTTGAGGAAGTTGGCATTGCCCTGTTTGTTACAGTCCTCACTCGGGCTTTGGTCTTTATCTGTCTCACTCTCTCGGGATGCAGAGTCTTTCTCTAACAGATACATGATGAAAATCGTCTCCACAAGGCTGAGCATCATCAGGGCAAACATCCCAATGCAGTAGACAGCTGAAGGCAGAAGTCAGATTTATTAATGTGGACCAATAACTAAACATTGAGTCAGTATATGTGCTTTTACTACTCAAAACTCTGAGCTTCTTTACCTATAAGTGGAATCCTGTTTGACGAGGAAGGCAGGATTTCATTCAGAATAAGTTGTAACACAGTGACAGCAAGCAGCACGGTGACCTTGAAGCTCAGCTTCTCACCCCCGTTGTCTGAGATCAGGAAGGAGGCCAAGTCCAGACACAAGAAGAACAGGACGGGTACTATGAAGTTGACGATGTAGAGTGTTGACCTCCTCCTCATGCTGATCTGTTAAATGACGTTTAAGGTTCAGGTGGCTGATATACCTACTCCTGCACACCAGAAACACAACTGAAAAAACTTTGCAGCAACAACAAGGTAATCTGCTCATCACGGCGGGAGCGATTGAGTCTTTAAAGTGATACTTTGGGTTATTTGACCCGGGGTTGTGTCAGGTACTTGTATATGATCAGTGTATTACCTGCAGTAGGTTCAGATCAGCGCCCTCACACTTTGGAAAAGCGGACACAAGTACCGGCACAGAAGCTGCTGTCGACAGGGTCAGCAGAAAAAAAACATCTTTTAGCTACTTGAAAACACTTTGTTGTGATTATTTTCACTGCTTCATCTTCAAGATGAAATTATAAAAATATTCAAAATAGGTAGGCAGCGAGTTTTCTGCTGACCCTGTCCACAGCAGTAATTTGCCCATTTTCCATTTTCCAAACTGGAAGCGTAACGATCCGAAGCTACTGCAGGTAGTACGCTGACTATGTTTAAGTACTGCACACAACCCAACGTCAAATAACACGAAGCATGCCCAAGTCAAATGTTTACTCAAGTAAAAAAAAAAAAAAGTGCAGTCAAAAGCACTCAAGAAAAACTGAGGATTTGATTGTTATATTTCAGATGAGAGTAAAATAAGGAACAAAATAAGAAAAAAATGAAGGAAGAACAGAAGGACGAAAACAGGAAAGAAATGGGTAGAGCGTGATGGACACGGGGGGGGGGCGAGGGAAAAACGGTAGAGAAGGAAGGACAGAGGGATAGAGAGAAGGAAAGGGAAAAAGGAAGAACAAAGAACAGACAGGATAGAAAAAAGCAAGATAGAAAAGAATATATGCGGATATTAGGAATATTTTTAAGTTTATCTCATGTTCAATCTGAGAAATACAGCTGTCAGATAAATATAATGTAGTAATAAGTACAATATATCTATGACATTTGGTAAATTAAAGTTGCAAAATGGAAATACTCAAGTGCAACTAGGCCTACCTCAATCTGAGCTCAAACAGCGTGATTGATGGTAGTTTCTATCAGAGTACATCTGTATCTATTCATACCCACAGTGTAAACGATGATGTCTTGGCCGAGTAAATCGCTGGCGTTGTTGGAAGTGACTGTCATGTTGATGAACAGCCATTCGTACTGGGTCCGCATCACTTCCCGAGACCACTCTGTGGCCTCTGAAGAGTTGTCACTTGGCTGCAGCCGAATGTCTTTGGCTGAGGGGGGAGATGAAATAGCTGTTAGATTTAGGCGACAAGGAATGGACGTCAGATGGCCTGGGGGGCACGATGTGTAAAATATCAATTTTGTTGTTTTTAAACATGCACAAAAAGATTGTTTTCTGTCAAAAGTAATGTCAGTGATGACCTGTAATATTAGCTGCCTGGAGCCATGGCAGTCGCATAAACTGTTACACTATATGCACTTTCTATTGTGAGGTCAAATCTATGAGAGGGACAGACTCACTGTTCACACTTCTCTGTGTTCTGGGTTTGTGTTTTGTAGACCAAATATAGTGATGTGACAATAAACTCTTCTAAACACAACTTGTCATGCTCTCACCAGTGTGTATGACAGACTTGAAGGAGAGGCTGCAGCGCTGTATGTCGAAGGGGAAATTATAAATGTGCATCCTGCAGGTGCTGACCAGCACCTGGTCATTCTGGACTTCAACATCACCTTTATCGTTGATAGTGAGATAAGGACTTGGAGGTGCTTTGTCCCGCTCTGTCCTGTATGAAAACACATGGAGACACAGCATTTCCACTCATGCTATGTATAAACAAATGCACATAAAAAAGATGAATGGAAACGTACTTAATGACAATTTAATCATGCATCCAGGAATGTGTTAAAAATGATGTTACACTTTCAAATGGGGAGCACTTGTTATAAATGTCAAGTAGTGTTTTAGCATCCAAATGCTTCAGCTATTGTGTCATACTCTAATCAAAAACACAATGTCCTGTCCAACATTACTGTAATGAGTGTCTGTGAAAATATCATAGTAATGTTCATGTCATTAATTTATCTTTTACTTTTCTTTTACATAAGAGTCATTATGAGTAGTATACAGATACATTTACACTTACATTTCTTCAATAGTAAGATCTGGCTTCCACAGGAACTCGGATGGAAGAGAAACATTATCAATTCCACAAAATTGATTTGGATCCCAGGAAATGTATTCATTGTGCCACCTCTACAGGGGAAAACAGGCAAGAAACACAAACAAAAACAGAACAGTGAAAGGAACAGTGAGAAAGAGGGACACAAATTAAAAGGGCTTTGATAAGAAAAAAAATTTAAAATGTGGCAGAACTCACCATGACTGTCCAAACGTAAGGGATGAATTTTTGATCTTTCTCAACCTGTAAAGAAATAACTATGTGTGAAAAGCACAACCAACACAGCACGCTGTTTGAAAAGATCAATCACACAGCAAAATCAGCGGTAGCATTTCCAACACATATGGTCATAAGCATCATGCTGGGAACACTGGCTGCTGTCGCTGAGCTGCCGTGGAGAAGCGCACACGTGTGTTCACACCTGCTGCATGTGTGCTGCGTCGCCGCTACTGCACCTGTATCTCTCTACATAGAGTTTGACGGATTTCTCTTCATTATAGATTAATATCCGATTTATTTTTGACATAAAACATCACTAAAATACCACTCTGTCCACATGCAGCTGCTAACATGGTGATATTTTTTCATGTCTGTGTCATATTCAGATTCAGCCTAGACATAGACAACTATGGTGGAAGATGTCAGTTATGTGTAATGTTGCTGGTATGGTATTGCTAGAAACTCAAAATATTATTATTATTATTATTATTATTATTATTATTATTATTATTATTATTATTATTATTATACAATAATAATAATAATAATAAAAAAAATTGGTAGGTACAATAGCCTACACTAACTGTCTCTTTTGACACAAAGGATACTGTACAATACTGTATGAGCTCCTGCTCAATGGAAATAGTAAAGACCATTTCAAAAAAGGTTTAACCACTCACCACGTCAAGAATGGCATAGAGCAGAACTTCCAGGTAAACCCGTGTGGGGCGTTTGTAGTTTCTCACAGGCCGGGTCATGACGTACTGCTCATTGTTTTTGGTAAGGTGCAGGTAATTTAAAACATCCTGATAGCTGCAGTTATCCTCAGAATACACCCCATCTGACGCAAAAACACGAAGACCCATTCACAACGAGACAAATTACTCTTAAAATGAAAGAAATCAAATGCTCATTCCCATGCTCTTAACTTTTTGTTCAAATATCGACTTCAAAGCCCTGGTGTTTGTCCTGGGAATATCTTCAATTACACCATGTATTGTGAAACATATTTGGGTGAAATTTACAATCTCCAAGATCAGCAGATAAAAAAATAAAATTCTCCAGGTCTTCAGTGAAGGACATGAAGCATCTACATGCTATAAAATGCTTTTGGAATATGGGGAATATGTTACAGGGATTTGGGTGTATCATTTGATGAACATGGAAGGGATGAGATTTGCAGCGACTTTACACCACTTCTACTGGACCCCAAGTAGATTGTACTGTGTAGACCTAGAAGATTTAAGAGACGGAAATGTAGTGGGGAGGAGAGTACACTAGTACATGTGGTATGGCTACTGTAAGGAGACTGTAAGGTGTAATCTGCTTTTCTACAATCACTGAAGAAGTGGACCCAGACTGCTATTATGATTGGGTGGCAAATCATTCTCAGGAACTCAGTTGGGTGGGTGACCGACTTAGGAAAAAGTAACTCCACAGAAGAAGACAGAAGAGAAAAACATCCCTAGTGGGACATGTACATTTCTTCCATAGAATCGTCAGTGTAAAGACGAGGTGGAAGCACAGTGTTTTCTTTATTACTATGTGAGAACTTGTCTTGTGATTTAATTACTTCTTTATTGCATTTTATTTATCATCATTATTTCTAAACTATCTATTTATGTACTTTTAATTTATTTTTATTCAGAATTGCATTGTGTCCTTGGCCACAGCTTTACACACAAGCCACTATATGTGCAGGTCGAGCCCTCTTTCTGTTTCTGTCCGTTTCTGTGCTGAGTGCTGATGGGAGTAGGGAGTCAGTTTGAAATACAATGCACCATATGTCATCTGTTGGATGACTGATGTTTATATCATAAAATAAAAATTGACAAACATTCATCTCTGTGGTATCCACAGTCACTGTGATATCACTGTAAAGGCCATTATGAGATGGGTGTGAGGATTTTTAAAGATTTATGGTTCAAACATTTAAGTCCATCGAGGCTCTCTGTCTGAGATCCATCTGATATACAATGTCCAAACGCATATCCGCTTAATTTTGTTAGCAAAGTTCACTCAGACTACAATTGTGTCAGTCTTTTGTCCATCTTCTATTACTGCTATGAAAGCTGTGTTTTTGAAAATGTAATTTAAATGTGTTTTTTTTGGTATGAGTCACACAGATTATTTCCTTCACTGTAAACACAGAGTAGACGCATGCAAATGACAAACACATAGGAGAACAACACACTTACAAAAGGCAATGCAGTGAATTAAGAAGACACAGCAATTTTGTGAGCAGCTGAGCACTGCCCAAGCTTACCTGTGAGGAAGAGCAGGAAGAGGAAACCAGAAAGCATCCTGACTGCAACATCTGTGCGAGACATCTGAACAGTAAATATGTATCCCTGTCCTCTCAGTATTGTCTGTAAATGTCATCAAGTCTGTTATAAAACCGCTGCCTCATTCTGGAAGAGGGCCAGACAAATTGAATGACCAAACGTTTATGTTTTGGGGTTTTTTTGTTTTTTTTTTTCAAATCTCATTACTCTAATAGCCATCCGGAGACAGTAGTCACTCCCACAGCAGTAATCACAGCATCTCTCAGTGGTCTTTCAGGGGAAGAACAAGAGGCGGTAATGCTCTTGGTGGAGACAAAAATGGGCTGTAATGACTGTTTAATGGTAAAAGTAAGTTCAGGAATTGCAGCTAATAAACATTTTGGACAGAAATCCCACACATCCAGGCGAAAAAGCACAATCAGGAACAGTGTCAGTAACACTTAGGACTCTCCTGTCAGTATGCTGTGAGTGAAATTACAGTGATGATATAGTGTGACAAATTAAGCGTGCATGAGCTGTGCACAATCCCCTCCTTACAAAGATGAATGCATATTTGAGAGTTCAGTGGCGCAAAAAACCATACGCACTGTTCAGATGTAGTGACATGGTCAGATGAGTCACCCTTCACCATATTCTGGACAAGTGGGCGAACACCAAGAACAGTACACACCTGAGTGATTGTTCCCCACAGTGAGGGGATCTGGTGGGTCGGGTCACTGAATGATGTGATGAGTATGAGAATTATGACCTTTCTGACCTTTGCAGTCACTCGATCTCAACCAAACTGAACACCATATGGGAGATTTAAGACTGACTACCACAGTTGTCAATGTTTACAGCCTGGTACAAATTACGGTTTTGGTTTCTATAACTAATTTACCCCGTCGTGGAAACTGTGCGGGGGGGTGGATTTTTATTGGATTACCCGGAAGTCAGGTGAAGCCAGGAACTGGGCTCTGTCCGTCTGGACGTCAGATGTCTGACCTACTGTGCATGTTCTTTAATTTCATCTAAATTTTCCTTTCAATTTAGATTAAATTACAAACATTAATCTCTGTGGGTTGGAATCCACTGCTTCTGGATTTATTATCAAACCATGAAAAGCACCAGCTCACAAATACCTGCAGTAATATACAGTGACTGTGGTCACAGAGAGGCCATTATAAGATGGGCGTTGACAGGGCTGCGGGATTTTATCTCGTCAGGCCAGTAATGAGTTTTAAACGTCAGTATTTTTGCAGACATTTAAGTTTAAATGGGGCTTTCCATTTGAAATCCATTTCCTATGGTACCCAAATGTTTTTTTGTCAAATCATGGCCAGGAGCACAGGGACATACTGGGATAATAACTCAGGACAGGAATCTAACATCGGCCCAGGCCAATCTCCATACATTCACAGCAGAACACGTACGTACACTGTGACAGGTCAGTTCACTTGGTGTCAAGACTCAGGCAACTGCACTTCCATTATTAAGGCAACAGGATGTCTGTGCACTTTCTGTGCATTTGTGAAGTGTTTGCTTTGTACCTGACATTTCTCCAGAGCTGTGACTGGACGTCTGTCAATCAATGTAAACGCATCACCTGCTTTCCTACATGTTGTATCTGATGCCATTTATCAGTCTTTTAAACATCAGATTACTTCAGGGAGGGTGACTGAGATATTAGGAGTGGGTTCCTGTTTCCTGTTTGTTTTAAACAATAAAGCTGTTCCTTGCTTGTGAGTGTCATTTCCTCCTTGTTTTTTTTTTCTCCTAATAGTGCATTCCCTCTAAGCTCCATCATTTCTCTTTTTTTTTCAAACTGTCTCTAACCCGCGCTGTCCATTTTTTCTGTCAGCTTTTGTATAGTTAGGCCCCGAATGCAGACCAAACACAAAAAACTGGGCTGGAAGTTAGGTATTTTATTAAACAAGAAAAAAAAACAAAAGTACAAAAAAACACAGGGAGACACCAAGGACGCTCAATGAAAGTAAAAACAGAAAATATAACCAGTAGGAAACAGAACAGGAGCATGAGGCACAAGGGAACTACAAAAAGGCAACCAGCAGTACGACAGAGAAAAGCAGACAAACTGACACGGACAAGAGGAAGCACAGAGGCTAAACACACAAGGGAAGCAAAGGTGATTGAACACAGTTGAAAAATATTAAGGCACGGCCGCCAATCAGAGTGGAGGGAAACAGGACAAAGACAAAGACAAAGTAAAATTAACATGAGACGCACAAGGGAAGTGATAACAAAATAAACAACTGTCTTAACATAAATAGTCGAAGTCGGAAAGTGATCAAACATAAAGTGTCCATCACAGCAGACCATGACATTTGCTCCACACTGCTCAGCCACATGTTCTCCATATTCTTTTTTTCAAAGATATTCTACTGAATTTTTCAAAGGTCAGTTTTCATGCTGCGAGAATCACAAACAAAACTCTGTTTGTCTTCATTGTATTGGCAACAGAGCAACACATCTTTTGCACAAACTATCTTTGTGGCTAAATGCGGGCAAGGTTTATTTGTCTTTTTTCTGGTTATGTAAACTGACTATTAATATTATTGGGTTTTTGTTTGTTTATTTGTTTGTTTTTCTTTGCAATTCTTTTTGGATCTGAATCTTCATCCCTTGGAGACGCAGCCTCTCCTCGTCTCTCTCCTGTGTGCTCGGAGAAATCTGTGTGCTGCAGCCAGTGTGTCTCTTCCTCCCTGAGTGTCCAAGAATATATGACACTTCTGTAAATATCTGAGGCCGGTAGATACTGTTTATGTAAGGTGCATATTCAAATAAGTAATTTACATATTTGTGTATTTGTGTTGCTGTTTATTTGTACATTACAAAAAGTCTATTACATGTTTTCATGTTTACACTTAATTGCACCTACTCAAAAAAATACACAACCTGACATAAATATTAAAAAATCTTCAACATTTTCATGCAAGAATGGAGATATGTATGATAGGATGTATGATACATTGTCCATATTACATGGCAAAGACATGTAGTAGAATTTTACAATACAAGACTAGTCACAAGTTATAGAGTGCATTACATGCAATCAACAGCCCTTCAGGAGCTGTAATATACAGAAGAACTAAACATGGATGGACCACATCAAACACATTACCTCACCAGCTTTGCTAGAACCAAGATGTGGGAAATCAAGGCTTTTATGAGAACATCATTTTATGTATGCATCTTCCCACAGAGCAAGATATGAAAAAGAAAACCGCCGTTAAGTGCTCACAGCGCAAACAGCTGATGTCCATTGTGAGCAAGTTACTGTCCGTGATTTGCTGTTCAATTGTTATCTGGTTTGCAAACTCACATCTTTTCCCCATGTGGAAGTCTGTATGGCGGCTCATTCGACAATCTAATGTGCAGCTCATTAGCTGTTACTCCACCCACTTCTATTCAACCCTCTGTCGGAGTATAAACTGATCCCTAAAAGAGAAACGGTTTGCAGAAACTTACGTACAAGTCCGTCTTTTGAATCAACTGTGGACATTTATTGTCCTGTCCCTCAGCTAAGCCAACAAGTTAACTAGGTAAGAGTTTTCTGACTGACACATACACTTTGTTACCGTACTTGAGTGATTTTATAGTGCAGTTTAAGTTTGTAATAGTTTTATAGGGATTGCGGGTAGTCAGCGTACTAATACACAAAAGCTGAGTAGGTAGTGAAGTACGTGTCAGAGGAGAGAGCGCAAGGCTGTGCTAGCTGTTTCCTGCAAACACGTGCAAACCAGGTACATATTAACTTGAAAACACGACAGGAGAAATAAAGGTAATTAAATTATTATCATAAATGATTATCTCTGAGTCTAGTTAGTCATTTATGTATTATGAATTTCTTCTATGCATTGCTCCATTTTAAAAAGAGGTAAACTAAAAACCCACTGACCACTGTGACATAGAAAATAAAGAAAACTCTGTTGACTCTTTTAGCCACTCTGGTCCAGTAGCCGGGCTTGAACTCGTCCTTCCTGCCGTTGAGGAGCAGAGTCAGTGTTTTCTCCATCTCCTTCAGCTCGTCTGAAACCTTCTCCAAGGCGTGGGACTCCTCCACCAGCTTGTTGCTGTTCTGATACAAGAGAGGTTTATTAGACTTGTTAATACAATTGTGGCTTGTAACAGCTGTTACATTTGAAATGTATTTTGATGTATTTTGTGTGTGTCCTTTGTGATGAGGATGAAGTGCAATCCAGTTCTAACCTCTTTGGCCACGGACAGCAGTTCAGACGAAGGTCCACCATCACCATCATAGATACACGCACACTGAGTCCGTTTGTGCAGCTCTGAAAGGACAGTTTTTTCCTTTTATTAACCAGATTCAAAGTAATACAATTAACAAGTATGTATTATTAGAAAAATAACTACAATACACCATAACAGTTAAAGTTTAAGAATAGCTTTTAGGTTGCCAATCCATTACTAAGTTTATCTAAAGCAAAAATATATACGATGCTAATGGAAAATTAAAACCACTATTATGAAAATTCCCTGTGACAGCGGTCGTGTCGTGGATGTTGATTTCATACAGCAGGGGGCGCAGCTTTACTGTGTACGAGCGGTTTACATCATTATTAAACAGCTTTTCAATGAGGTTAAGTCAGGTCAGGTTGTTGACCACAGTCCATATTATCTACCTCTTTTCCTTATAGAAACAGGCTGGTTTTGTCAGTTGGTTTAGTCAGCTCTGCAACAGTTAGCGCCAGTTATTAGGTATATTTTGTAACAACTAATCTCTACCTAAGGACACTTTGTGCACCTGGATCCTGGTCTCACCTCCGTGACATTTGAGGAAGTTGGCATTGCCCTGTTTGTTACAGTCCTCACACGGGCTTTGGTCTTTATCTGTCTCACTCTCTCGGGATGCAGAGTCTTTCTCTAACAGATACATGATGAAAATCGTCTCCAGGAGGCTGAGCATCATCAGACCAAATATACCAATGCAGTAGACAGCTGAAGGCAGAAGGCAGCTTCACTGATGTGGACCAATAACTAAACATTGAGTCAGTATATGTGCTTTTACTACTCATATGAAATAC